AGTTTTCAAATGTATGACTCTGTCAGAATTCATTTTTCTATTCTCTGTCAATGAACACTTAGGCAATTTTTCTCATAGATAATATTTCTTTGAGTATTCTTGTACATGTCACTTCAGGCACATGTGCTAAAGATTCTCTAGGTTATTGTTATATGCCTCAGAGTGGAATTTCTGGGTCATATGTTAGAAGAATATTCAACTTCTATAGATAACAATAATACTGTTTTCCAAAGTTTTAGTACCAGTTTGCACAGCCCTCAGCAGTTTACAAAAATTTTCTCAATACCCCATTTTTACCAACATTGATATTTATATTGATATATTATTATATTATCATATTATTAGTGAAATCAAGCACATGTTTGTGTGTGTTGGTGGTTGACTTTTCTCTTCAGTGAAGTGCCTTTGAAAGACTTCTGTGTATTTTTTTAAATTGGATTGCCTTTTTCTTTTTTGTTTGAAGAACTTATGTAGTCTTGAAAACATCTTTGTAAATACATAAATTTATTACTGGACTTTTATTCTCTTTGTGGTATATTTTTATTTAAAAAGGACTTTAGTTTTTATTTAATTGAAATTTTCTAATTTTCTTTTATGCACTTTATTTCTTTCTCTTATCTAAGTGCTATGGTAGGACTTCTAGTACTATGTTGAATAAAAGTGGTGGAAGTGGGCTTGAAAAGAGAGAAATCAATTATCCTTTTTTGAATACAATATGATCCTATATTTAGAAAAACCTAAAGTTTCCACCAAAAAACTATTAGGACTGATAACCAAATTCACCAAACTATTAGAACTGATAAAGTTGTAGGATACAAAATCAAATATCCAAATGTCAGTAGTATATGCCAACAACAAGTAATCTGAGAAAGAAATCAAGAAAGTAATCCCATTTACAATACCTACAAATAAGGGATAAACTTAAGTAAAGAAGTAAAATATCTCTACAATGAAAAGTATAAAACAATGATGAAAGAAATGGAAGAGAACACATGTACAAATGAAAAGTTACTCCATATTAATGGGTTGGAAGAACCAATATTATTAAAATGTCCATACTTCCCAAAGCAATTTACAGATTCAGTGCAATGCTTATCAAAATAACTAACTATTAAAATGTCCATACTACCCAAAGCAATTTACAGATTCAATGCAATGCCTATCAAAATAACTAATGACATTCTTCACAAATAACTAATGACATTCAATGCAATGCCTATCAAAATAACTAATGACATTCTTCACAGTAGAAAAAAATTCTAAAATTATATAGAACCACAAAAACCCAGAATAGCCAACACAGTCCTGAGCAAAAAGAACAAAGCTACAGACATCACATTACATGACTTCAAATTATACTAAAAAGCTATAGTAACCAAAACAGCATAATACTGGCATAAAAATAAGCACACAGACCAATAGAACAGAATAAAGAACCTAGAAATAAATCCACACATTTACTGTCAACTTATTTGTGAGAAAGGTGCTAAGAATATACATTGGTAAATGGAAAGTTTCCTCAATAAATGGTGCTGGGAAAAATAGATATCCATATGCAGAAGAATAAAACTAGATTCCTGTCTCTTGCCAAAAAATCAAATCAAAATGGATTAAAGACTTAAATCTAAGACATGAAACTATGAAACCACTACAAGAAAACTTTGAGGAAACACCCCAAGACACTAGTCTGGTTAAAGATTTCTTGAGTAAGGCTTCACAAGCATACACAACCAAGCATGGGCAACCAAAGCGACAACAGATAAATAGGATCACATCAAGCTAAAAAGGTTCCTCATAGCAAGGAAAATAGTCAACAAAGTGAAGAGACAACTCACAGAATGGGAGAAAATATTTGCAAATAACCCATCTAAGAAGGGATCAACAACCAAAATTTATAAGGAACTCAAGCAACTTGATAGGATTTGGTCAAAAACTGCTGAAAACTCAGTGCAGTGTGGGAGGTGTTGTCATGGTGGAAGAACAAGTCACCTCTTTGCCACAATTTGAAATGTTTACTCCACAAATTATGACACACAACAATGTTAGCCGATGGCATGGATGCTGATGGTTTCCTGATTTGAATAGCAGAGAGCTGGCATAAAAAAGATAAAAATAGAATGGCCCTGGCATAAAAATAGGCACATAAAACCAAAGAAGACATCCAACTGGGTGATAAGTATATGGAAAAGTGCTCAATATCACTAATCATTTGGGAAATGCAAATTAAAACTACAAGGAGATATATCATCCCTCCTCAGCTAAAATGTTTCTTATTCAAAAGGCAGGCAACAATGAATGTAGAAGAGGATGCTGAGAAAGGGGAACCCTGGATATTGTTGGTGGGAATGTGAACTAGTACAGCCACTATGGAGAACAGAATGGAGATTTCTCAAAAAAACTAAAACTAGTACTGCTATGTGATCCAGCAGTCCCACTTCTGAGTATACGTCTAATATTGAAGAGATAGTTGTACTTCCATGTTTACTGCAGCACTAGGCACAATAACCAAGATATGGAGTCAACCCAAGTGTCCATCAACAGATGAATGGATAAAGAAAATGTGATAACTATATCTATATCTAACTATATCTATTTACACACACAATGAAATATTAATCAACCATAAAAGGAATAAACTCATGTCATTTGCAGCAACATGGATGAAACTTGAGGACATTGTGTAGGGGTAGGTGAACCAGGCACAGAAAGACAAATATTGCATGTTCTCACTCATATATGGGGGAAAAAAGGTTGAGCTGGTGGAGATACAGAGTGAAATGATGGTTAACAGAGGCTTGGAAGGGTAGTGGGGGAGAGATGATAAAAAAGGAAATGATTAATGGGTACAAACATATAGTTAGAAAAAATAAGACCTAGTGTTTAATAGCCAAATAGGACAACTATACAATAATTTATTGTATATTTCAAAATAATGAAAAGAGTGGACTTGGGATGTTTTTAAAGCAAAGGAATGATAAATACTTGAGATTGTGGATGCCCCAATTACCCTAGTTTGAGCATTATACATTATATACTTGTATCAAAATATGAATATATAACCCAAAAAATGTATACATGTATTATGTATCCATAAAAACAAAAAATAAAACAATAAATTTCTTTTATGATTTATTTTGTATTTTGTTTAGGGGATAATTGACTTTGAATCAATATAATTTTTTTCTAAAAGTGCATTTAATCCTTAATCAATACAAAATGAATTACTTGTATGTGTGAGGTAGGAATTCAATTTCATTTTCTGTAATTGTTTAATCAACTGTCAAGAATCTTTATTTAAAATTCTACCCTTCTCCCCATTGATCTGACATATATTGAGGCCTCACATATGTCTGGTTACGTTTCTGGGCTATTGATTTTGTCCCATTCATCTGTTTGTCTACCACTGTTCCAGTACAATGATGTACTAATTGCCTTGCATTTATATTGCTAGCTTACACAGGAAGTCACTCCCAATTCCATTATGTCATTATTTTATTTTAAGAATTTCCTAACTATTCTTGGTATTTTGCTCTTCCATATAAACTTTAGAGTAACTTTGTCAGCCCCATTAAAAAGTGGGCAAAAGACACAAATAGACACTTCTCAAAAGAAGATGTATGGACAGCCAACAGATACATGAAAATGTGCTCAGCATCACTAATCATCAGAGAAATGTAAACTAAAACCACATTGAGATACCACCTAATCCAGTAAGAATGGCCATCATTAATAAAACAAACAACAACAGAAGTTGGCAAAGGTGAGGAGAAGAAGGAATGCTTCTAAACTGCTGATGGGAATGCAAACTAGTGCAACTTCTTTAGCAGACAGTGTGGCAATTTCTGAAGAACTAGAAATTGACCTTCCATATGACTCCTATTGGGAATATACCCAGAGGAACTCAATTCATCCTACAAAAAAGATACCAGCACATGCATGTTTATTGCAGCTCTATTCACAATAGCAAAAACATGCTGCCCATCAAAGCTGGACTGGATTTTTAAAATGTGGTACATATATACAATGGAATATTATGCAGCCATAAAGACGGACAAACATATGGACTTCGCAGCAACTTGGATAGATTTAGAGTCTATCATACTCAGTGATCTATCACAGAAACAAAGAACAGAGTACCATATGTTCTCACTCATAAGCAGACCTTGAACAACTATAATAAGACTATAGAAAAAGGATTGGCAGTAGTGGGAAACTGCGAGGGAAAGGGGGACAGGATTGGCAGTTGAGGGAAACTTCCAGGGGAGGAAGGGCACACCTCATCAACATGGGTACCTGAATAATGAACATTTGTATACCTAACCCTGAATTGTACCCCACATCTTTAAAATGAAACTTTTAAAAGTACACACACACACACAAAGAAAATACATATATGTAGACAGCTTTATTATAGTAAATTCAATAGCTGTCACATTTATTTATCTAAATATAGAGAAATAAAATGTAAAAATGTGTATAGTTTCTTACTGAGATTGACATTTTAAACAATATTATCAAACTCTTAGGATTGAGATTCTTCAAGAAATAATTTTGAGTATAATGAGTATCACATGGAGAAACTTCAGGACATAATTAAATTTTTAAAGCATGTTGAATCAGGTCTGAGTTTCATGACTAATTACATACTTATGATAACCATAAGAATCAAGGATCAAGAATCAAGGAAAGAGGATAATATTTTGATATTTATATTTCTGTGTATAAACAGTCATCACTAGCTTTGTCAGTGTACCTGTATCTGTCCATTCCAGATATAAATACTAACCAGCACACTTCAGTTTAATGGAAGTTTAAGTAGTAATCATAGTGAAATATTTAAGATTGCAAAACAAATTTTATTTTTTCTTCAATTCAGTATATTTCTTTTAGAAGTTGGTGTGCCTAATTTTCACTGAACATTTGCAAACTCACTAGGGAAAAACTGAAATTTTTAAAAAATGATTTGATAAACCATATTCTCATTCTTATTCCGTTCTCAGATCTGATATAAAACACCCTGAAGAAATGAATGTCACCAGATCTGAGGAACAATTCCATGCTCTAAACCATGCAGAGCAAACTCTTCGCAAAATGGAGAACTACTTGAAAGAGAAGCAACTGTGTGATGTGCTACTTGTTGCTGGACACCTCCGAATCCCAGCTCACAGGTAAGTATTCTTATGGAAACAGAATGTTTGGTGGGTAGAGCAAGTATGAATGTGAAGGAATCAATACATTGATTACAAATTGGGACTGTGAGGGATAATATTTTTATTTTCTTATATTGATTGATATATTTTCAATTATTAGCATACATGATCCTTTTCTCTGATATTTAGAAGAACCAAACTTTACATAGATTGATGAAGAAAAAAACAGCACACACAAACACTCTAAAAGTAGATCAATTTACTTATTTGACTTTTCTAACTTCACTACATTTACCTAAACTTATGTTATGCAAAAAACAGACTCACCAATGTTACAAACTTACTAAATGAATTTCATGCTTTTCAATAAAAGTATGGAATGATTTAAGTTCCTGTAAAACATTCCTGTTTCCAGATTGGTTCTCAGTGCAGTGTCTGATTATTTTGCTGCAATGTTTACAAATGATGTGCTAGAAGCCAAACAAGAAGAAGTCAGGATGGAAGGCATAGATCCAAATGCACTTAATTCCTTGGTGCGGTATGCTTACACAGGTAAGTTCTTGACATTCATTACCTCACAATAAATCTACATTATATAACACATTATTTCCACTTTACAGGTAATTAAACTGAAGGATATCCCAGAAAAATAACTTTTTTTTTCTTTCTTTTTTTCTTGAAAGCAGGATTTATTGAAAGGACAGAAAAGCTCCCATGGGGGGGGGACAGAAGGGGTGGCCCCAGAAAAATAACTTTTCTAAAATAGTAAAAAAGAAGCAGAACTTAATCTCAATATAAAAGAACATGAGGCGAATAATCTTCTGTAAAATATTTTGAGCATTAAAGCAGAAAGTGATTTAACACAAACAGACTAGAACAATTTCTTGAATGGTGTGGGCACATTCTTTGTTTATTTGTTTGTTGGTTTGTTTCTTAAAGATTGTAAGTGGGTTCTTCCAATTCTACAGATATTTAGTTCATCTCTTCTTGTAGAATATTTCAACCATATTTATTTAAACTATAAAATAAAAGTAAAAGAATGAATTTTGGGCCCCAAAAGTATTTTGACCTTCATTCCAGATTTATTGTTTAATCTTTAGGGTATTTTAGCTTTTAATTACATTTATTTTTATCATATATTCTTAGGTTATTTTAAAAGCTAAAAGCTTACCTCTTGGCTTTCTCCAACAGAGTTGTTTTCAAACATTTTTGCTTGCACTGTTCTTATTTGAAAAACTGTGCTAACCTTCTATTTTTCCTTAATGATTAAATTTTATTGTAATTTAAAGTAGTTGTAAAACATATGATACCCAATATATTAAAATATTAATATATTTTTAAAAGCACTATTACATTTGCATTTTAAATATATCCAGTGGAATTTCAAACCTATAACAATTTGATGCCAACAATGTTCTGTTTAAAAACATATACATATGGAAATTCCTTAAAAGTTAAACAATAAAATTACCTTATAACCCAGCAATTCAACACCAGGGTTTATGTCCAAGGTGATTGAAAACATGTCCACACAGAAATGTTTACATAGATATTTATATCAGCATTATTCATAATAAAAAATAGAAACAACTCAAATGTTTGTCATTTGAGGAATGGGTAAATTAAATATGATACATGAAAACAGTGGAATATTAATGGGCAATGAAAAAGAAATGAAGTACTCAGATGCTACAATGCAGATGAGCTTTCAAAACATTATGCCAGGTTAAAGAAGCCTGTCACAAAATATCACTTATTGTGTGATTCCATTTATATTAAATGTCCAAAATAGGACAGTTTGTAGAGACAGAAAGTAGATTGGCGGTTGCATGAATATGGAGGGAATTGAGAGAGACTATTAACAGTTATTGTGTTCCTTTTGGGAGTGATGAAGATATTTTGAAATTGGTGATAATGGTTGTAAACGTTTGTAAATGTACTTAAAAATATTTAATTGCACACTTTGAAAGGGTGAATCTTATATTAATTAAATCTCAATAAAAATATAAACAAACTTTTGTTTCAGAGATCTTTTTATGCCTTAGCTTCATAATGTAGCATAGTAAACATCTGAAGAGGTGAGATAGGTGGCATTTTTATGAGACGAGAGAAAGTCAATTGTGGAAAGGAAGTGGGAAAGTAAAGCCTGTTTTAGGAGTAGACTGTTTTTTATTTTTTTTATTTTTTTATTTTTTTTTGAGTTGGAGTCTTCTCTGTCGCCCAGACTGGAGTGCAGTGGCTGCTCCCGGCCACCGCAACCTCGACCTGCTGGGCTCTGGTGATCCTTCGGCCTCAGCCTTCCAAGTAGCCGGAATTACAGGCGCGTGCTACCACGCCCAGTTGATTTTTTTATTTATTGTAGAGATGAGGTCTCGCTGCCGAGGCGGGTCTCGAACCTGCGGGCTCAGGCAATCCACTCACCTCAGCCTCCCAAAGGCGCGGGATTACAGGCTGAGCCACCGAGCCCGGCTAGACTGTTTTTTAAAAGGAGTATATATGAAAGTTGAACTTCTAAAATGTGTTTACATAAAATTGATCTGTGCCTTATAAAGTTTTTTTATATATCTCTAATAATATGCATACTACTTGAGGACCACGGTTCTAACAAAATTACTTCCAAATTTCAATTTTCCTCACCCCTTGCCTTCGACTCCCACCTTTCTTCTGACAAGCTTTTAAACAAAAAATTTCCAAATTTTCTTTATGTTCTAAAATGTCCACAGACTTCATCAAATCAGGAGGTTGATTAGAGCATCCTTGAGTCTTCATAGATACTTCTGTTTTCTTTTCCAGACATCTGTGGACTCTATTTCTCATACTTGATGAATTTTAATCCTTATTTAAAAATGTTTTTTTTCCCAATTAACTTCTTTTTTTATTTAAATTTTGTGTAGACCAAGATAACTCAGCCAGCTGTCTTGTCTACCCTTATAATATTTAATATAAATACCCCCACTATAAACAGACTTCCTCAAGCATTTTTTCAAAATAGGATTTATGTTTAAATACTTATGTTTTTCTTTTTTCATTTTGAATCCAGGGGTGCATGTAAAGGTTTGTTACATGGGTATGTTGTGTGATAGTGAGATTTTGTCTTCTATTAAACTTGTCACCCAAATAGTGAACATGGTACTCAATAGGTAGTTTTTCAACCCTTGCCCCCTCCTCCCCTTTAGGAGTTCCCAGTGCCTATTCTCATCATATGTCCCTGTGTACCCAATGTTAGCTCTCATGTAATTGAGAACATGCAGTACTTGATTTTCTGCTTCTGGGTTAATTCATTTAAGCATTTTTGTAACTGAATACTGTATACTGTAATATGCAATGCTTTCTTAGTGTACCCAAGACCTTTACAACTGAAATATCCATCTAAATGAATGTTTCTCCTAATAACAGGGCCAAATTTTAATGTCTTTATTAGGCAAATCTTTAAATGTGAAATGAGAATAGTTCAGACTTCACTAATTCTCATGAGAGATGGGCAGGGCTCTTCCTTCAAAATCCAGAACAAGAAACAATTCAAGAAAATCTGCTAATGGTCCAGAATTCTTTATAATATAGTTTGCAGTTTAAATAGCCTCACAATATTTATCAATATATCATTCTTTCCCTGATGGTTATGCAACCATATAGGGTCCATATTAAGGTATTTTAGAATAAAATAATTAAAGAAATAATTTATAATTTGTATAGGACTCTTAAAACAATCTTTATAACTTATCTATAACTTGGCTTAAACAAAAAGTAAGAATATATCTTATAAAAATAACTTATAATGTCTGCAACAAGTCACCAAAAATACTCTAAAAACAATACAGCTATATCAATATAAAGGAAACAACTTAATTTACTTCTGATTCTCTTTTTAAAAATGTATTACAGATGTTATCAAACATAACCTGCTTTTTATACCAAAGTAAATAATCATAGAGGCAATTCTTCATTTGAGTACTCTTGGCAACATTTTCTTCCTTTTGAGAGTACCAGGGGTCAATTCCAGGCATAAGATTTAGGCAAAGACTTTCATACCAGCTAATAAATGTAGATTAAAAAATGAACATATAAGCTCAATGTTATTCATACCAAAAAATAAAAATAAAGAGACATATAAACTCAATGCTCTTTTCATTTACTAAGATGTTTAGCTCCACACAAGTGAATGACTCGTATGGCCAATTATATGATCTTTATACAATAATGACATTATGTTTCTTGCATCTGCATCATACTGAAAACAGATTTTTTTTCTTTATACAGGTGTGATTGACAAATAAAAAATATATACATTTAAAGTGTATATCATGATGTTCTCATGTGCATATATAATATGAAATGATTGATTTAAGGTTTAAATACAGGACAAACATTATAAAGAAATAAGATGTTGCTGTCCTTCAACATGTTGATACTCACTGTTTATTTGCAGTCCCTTTTCATAATTTAGTCTGGCTCCCTCTAGCCATCTTAGTAGTATTTACAGATAGGCTCTGTGGTGTATACAAAATGAATTCCCAGATTTGTTACTGTACACTAAAAAGTGTAGCCTTATTAGAGAGGGAAATAAAAACAATTCAACTAGTTGGAATATCCGTGTCTTACTTTACGTAACATGTAATCATTCTCCACTTTTTCAAACCATCTAGGTGTTCTGCAATTGAGAGAAGATACCATTGAAAGTTTGCTGGCTGCAGCTTGTCTCCTGCAGCTGACTCAGGTCATTGAAGTCTGCTCCAGTTTTCTCATAAAGCAACTCCATCCTTCAAACTGCTTGGGTATTCGATCATTTGGAGATGCCCAAGGATGTACAGAGCTTCTGAATGTGGCACATAAATTTACTATGGTAAAATCAATTGCTTCACATTAACTTGAACTAATAATATATTGATTTCATGGTAAAATTAATAAGCAATATAAACATATTATACAGATGACTTGTACATAAAATATATTAGATAAAAATATGTGTTGGTTTGAGATTTACTCAAGCAAGTCTTTCATTTTGGAAACCAAAAAAATTCAATCTCAAAACTTGGAAAAATGAAAATACTATCAAAAACTCCCTCATATTTTTGGACAATTAGAACTTTAGCTGTTTGGCAGTAATGGTAAACTGTTGGCGGGGGGGGATTGGGGATTGGCAGTTAAGGGAAACTGCTAGAGGAGGGAGGAGCATACTTCATTAACAACGATACCTACATAATCAATGTTTGTATACCTAACCCTGAATTGTACCCCACATCTTTATAATATAAATAAATAAATAAATAAAAATTAAAAAGTACTTTAGCTTTTTTGTGCACATTATGATTTTAATTAAAGTTAAATGTCACTAAATTAAAATAAGTTGACATGAATAAGTTGATATTAATTGGAAGACCTTAAGAACTACTAAAATTAGTAAATCAGACAACTTTATTAAATGGATGTTTCTATGTCTTATTAAATATTTTTGCTTTGATTAAAGACAGTTTGCAGTTCAATCTTTTAACTAACTTAAAATCCGTCTCAATTCTACTAATAATTATAATTAATTAAATAAACTTGTTCCTATGTGGTAATTACTTTAAAGTTGCATTGTATAAGATGAACTTTATTCAATCAGATAACAATCACATAAAATATAGACTGCTGGGATGCAGGAATAAATACACAGAATTTATTAAATATAAAGCCTTACCATATATGCTAATACTTCCTTAATGCAAATATAATGAATTTTTTTTTGTTTCTGAAGGAGGAAAAGCTATAGGAGATGGATCTGTCTATGAAAACCAATCAAAGGACAAATATATCAAACAAAGGAAATTATTCCAGTTATTTAAGATTAAAAAACAAAATAGAGTTGCATATGACTGGACAATAAAGAATGAAACATAAAAATGATAAATAAAAGTAGCATTATTTTTTAAAATAGAGATGACTATAAAGAGTATTTTTCAAAAGTTTTATACAGTACTTAATTTTTTTCAAATTTCTAAAATTTGAATTCTCTAAAAATTTCTCATGAGTCTTTCTCCTTCTGTTTCTACACTAAATCATTGCTCAAAATTTGAAGTTTGAACCATATTTCTAAAACAATACCATCGTGTAAAGAATCATATTCTAATAGATTAGCATTTTAAAACATGTCATTTAATTATGCTATTTATTTTCCTGTGTCCTAAATAATGTTGCCATATAATCTAAAGTAGCAGCAGTTATGTAGGTCAAAGCTTAATTTTATCACAAGAGCAAAACATAAAAACGTCCTGTTAAGTTATTTAACTTCTTGAACTAAATAGTAACAGTGTCCTGTCTGGCATCTTACACATGCAGACCAACTGCTTTCTGATAAACAGCTTGAATTATTTTTGTTGCTCAAATTGAACTTATCTTCCTTATCCTATTATGCAACTGAAACTGAGTGTTACATAAGGATGTGCATAAAAATGCAATACTATTGTCTCCCTCAATCACTCTTCTTTAGTTATTTTAGTATCAATTGTGAATACAGTAAAATATGTAGAACACTTGCTATAGTAATGTTTTTGCAATATTGCATTGGTAGTATAAGAATCCAAATCATTTTAATGTTGAAAATAGAGTTAAACAATTTAGAGATTCAATTATGATCAAGTAATTTGGTAAACAGAGTAAAGCAGATTGCCCTCCCTGATGTGGGTGGGCTTCATCCAGAAACACCCTAACAAATGCAACCAGAATGATGTTTGGCTCAATGTCTGGGGACCTCATGACCTAGTCAAATTGAAACATAAAATTAATTATCTCAATCATGTAAATCAGGGGTCCCCAAACTCCAGGCCGCAGACCAGTATGCCTGTGGCCTGTTAGGAACCAGTGGCATAGCAGGATGTGAGCAGCAGCAAGCGGAGCTCCCCCAAATGTCAGACCCTCAGTATCATTAGATTCTTATAGGAGCATGAAATCTGTTGTGAACTGAACATGAAAGGGATCTAGGTTGTACATTCCTTATGAGAATCTAATGCCTGACAATCCCCCCATCCCCTGTGGGTGGAAAAATTGTCTTCCACAAAACTATTTCCTTGTGCCAAAAAGGTTGGGGACTGCCAATATAAATAGTTGGCTGTGCCAATGACACATTTAACAAATATGCTATAGTCATTTAATAAATTTTACCACAACGTAAATGTGGATTATAAAAAATATATAATAGCCAGGCTCAGTGGCTCAGCCTGTAATCCCACGCCTTTGGGAGACTGAGGTGAGTGGATTGCCTGAACCCACGGGTTCGAGACCCACCTGGGCAACTTGGCAAGCCCTCATCTCTACAATAAATCAAAAATTAGCCAGGTGTGGTAGTGCACACCTGTAGTTCCGGCTACTTGGAAGGCTGCGGCGGAAGGATCACCGGAGCCCAGCAGGTCGAGGCTGCGGTGGCCGGGAGCGGCCACTGCACTCCAGTCTGGGCGACAGAGTGAGACTCCAACTCAAATTGTGTGTGTGTGTGATATATATATATATATATATATATATATATATATATATATATATCTGTATCTATATATCTATATCTATATATATAGATATATAGATATATATAGATATATATTATAAAAAATAGTGAACCCATGGCACAAAAGAAGATTCCCTGGAAAAGTACATAGAAGAAAATGTTTAAATCAGGAGCAAAGTAATTCCAAAATCAAACAATTTAAAATTTGTCTTAACTTTAACTAATTATGTCTTTAAAGTGCTGGATACTGCAGTATCATATGTAGATATTTAAACAAATACATTTATTTTTATTTAGTCTAATCTGTTATATTTTCCAGCAATTTTTATTAGTCTCAAGCAACAAATCTGAAGTCATAATAAATTTTATCAAAAAATCATAATTTCTGGTTCTCTCTAAATAAAAATCATTTGTAATTATTTTAACTCTCTCAAATGCATAATCAAATGTCAAAGACTATAATATGAACTGCACTTGCTATTAAGTAGGTCTTTTACATACAGTGATAGTATCTAGTAGAAATTATACACTGAGATAGTATTTCTACTCCTCCTCTTTTTCTTTTTCCATCACCACTACCTTCTCTCTCTCTCTCTCTCTCCCTCTCTCTCTCTCTCTCTCCTTTATTTGGTCCCCATTGGACATTTGATAGAAAGGAGAGTGAAATATAAAATGTTCTATAATATTAACACTATTTCAAAGTTTGCATACAATACCAGTAATAGATAGTCATAAGTTATATCATATTTTATAGTTTTATCTTTTTTAACCCTTTAAAAAAATTGTATCACTTATGAAAGGCAAGTATAGTATCAAACAAAATGCAGAAGGCATGATTTCAGAAGCTTATGTTTAAGTCCAAACTGTGCCTGTTACTCCATAAGAGATTAAAAACTATCACCTACGTTTTCTTTGATAAACTTCACCTCCTTACAAGGTCACATTGGTAATAATTTAATACTTGTGAAAATACTCAGTAAAGTGTGAAGTGCTGTACAAGTGTAAGGTATTAGTAGTAGTAGTACTATCACCATTATTTATACAAATGAAAAGCGTTTTTTTAAACAGAGGCATCTGCTTCAGTAAGAACAGCAGCTTTCTTTCAACTGCTTGACTTAATCATAAAAACATTCTTTGTCTAAATAGGCAAGTTAGTTTGGAATTTATGACACTAGATCTTCCTGATGCATCTATAAACCTTGAAGATTGTTGTATGAAAAATTTTGCTATTAGGCTAACTCAGATCCACAATGACTAAAGTGAGAGTAAACATGCAGGAATAATTTAATTTATTCAGACACCAAATTATTTAGACTACCTTAAGCTGCTTCCAGAATATCTGTTTATTGTGCAACATAAATTGCCAAGTAGATTGGCTACCTCCATTTTATAAATATATTTTATTGCATTTTAAGCTAGAGATTTTTACTGTGAGAAATGTTAGAAATTGTAATTGTGTAGTCAAAGAAAGAACATATGATATTTATAAACTGAAAAAATTGCAAGGATGTTTTGATGAAAAAATTGAAATTCAGTGTTTGAAAGTTGATACTTGACAAAATAGAATGCAATGACAGAAGGGATAACTGAGGTATACCGCATAAAAATTGAAAGACAGCCCCACTATTTCCTAAAGAAAAACTTCAGAGGAATTTGTTTTAGATTGTTCTGAATCTACTATCCATTGCCCATTGTCAAAGGACATAGTTCCCTTGGTCAATAGAAGAATATACTTTTCCATAAGAAAAGATCATTGTTCATCAATCTTTTTCACATCTCAGAGGAGTTGCTGCCACACATGCATAGCCAGAGTTACCTCTTTTAGACCTTCAAATAGTTTCCACTTTGAAAACTTTCAGTCTTTCCGTTAAGGCTTTTGACTAAAGACAAAATAAGACTCTCAGTTCTAGAGTCATGAGCTGTTGTTGTCACATACAATGGCTGGGAGCAAAAAGCACTGCTGTGGGCTCTGACATTCTGCCCATGTGGTCTGTGAAGCAAATAAGGGCTTTCTTTGTATTCAATTAATATTTCCCAATGGAAACATTTGGCATCTCAACTTCAGAAGGCTCCCAGTACCTCTGTCATGGGTAGCAATAACACCTATTTGATATAGGTACATCTGTTCCTTGTGCTTTTCTGAAGTGAAACAAGGTGGAATTCTTGATACGCTTATTTTGTTAAGAAGTTTCAAAGTGCAAAATTTCAGTAGATGGCTTTTCTTTCCTAGGAACATTTCACTGAAGTAATAAAGAACCAAGAATTCCTCCTGCTTCCAGCTAATGAAATTTCAAAACTTCTGTGCAGTGATGATATTAATGTGCCCAATGAAGAAACCATTTTTCATGCTCTAATGCAGTGGGTGGGGCATGATGTACAGACTAGGCAACAAGACCTGGCGATGCTGCTTTCTTACATCAGACTGCCATTACTTCCACCACAGGTAAGAAAATGTACCCAAGTAATATAAAGTGTAGTTCTAAACTACCAGTGGGCATTAATTCATTTTTATTTACCTAATTATATTTTATTCAGATGATTTCTGGTAATTGGAGTAAACAATATTTGTTTCACGAAAAGAAACATCCAGCCTTCATTTAGAGGTTGTTAATAAAAGACAAGAAATACAATTAAAAAAAATAAAACTACAGATAATCCTTGAAAACCAGAATACTTATTAGTTCCAGTTTCATAAAATAGTACTTGTAAAAAGCATGAAAAATTATTAAGCAAACTATTTTTCTTTTCCTGTCCACCTTCTGAACAAGGTGTTAATAGTCAGTATGATAGCATCCCAGAGGAGACTGCAGGAAGAAGTCAGATCCTGGATAATAGTTACTAACATGGATAATTATCTACTATAATTGAAAGTGTGCCATCATTATTTCAGATGAAATAGAGAATAAGTATAATGGCACCCTCATCATGCTTGTTTAACTGAAAGATTATAGCAAAAATAATCTTAAAAACAAACACCTTTGGATAAGATCACTTCATACTGAATTTTTGTATGTGAAATTTAATGAGGCTGGAATGCAGTCTGATTATGTAATTTTACCACTGGTGATAACCACAATTTTTTCTGTGTATAAAATTACTCAATAGTAGATATAAGTTATAAAATATATGAATATATTACACATATGGATTTCACATTTATTGAACCTGTGGGTAGTGTCCTCAAATATCATCCACAATAGAGAGAGCTTCTCTTAACTTAGTATATCAATATTTTCATATATATTAAAAAGAATAAATTTTTTAACAAAATTACTAACCCGGCATTAATATTGAAAAATAGAATGTTAATCTGCTGATGATTTCTCCATATATATACATACACATACATACTAAATGAGTTCAAACAATACCTCATTGCTGAATATGACTACAGTCACCTTCAAAGTATTCTTCTTGGGAAATGATGCACTCATGCCGGCACTGAGTCTACCTGTCAAATCAATTTTAGAGCTATTTTTCTGGAATGGCCATCAGAGTTATTGTCGTGAGAATGTCAGGATTTGAATTAGAGCAATGAACAAACATTAAATTTCTTGCAAAAGTGGAAGTGAAATCAGGGACATATTAGTCCCAGTTTATGGGAATAATGCCATGAAGAAAACAGCAGTGTACAAATGTATTAAACATTGTTCTGAAGGGAGAGAAAGCATCACTGATAAATAGAGGTCAGGACAGTGAGTAACAAGCAGAACTTACAAAAGCGTTGCAAAAATTTATCAAATTGTGTGTAGAAATTGTCAGTTGGCTGTGAGAAGCATAGTAGATCAAATAAACATCAATAAAGAAACAGCAAAATCTTAAGCAGAAATCTTGACATGAGAGAAGTGTGTGCAAAAATGGTCCCAAAGGAGCTCTTGCATCATGATAATGCACTGACTCACACAGCACTGTCTATGAATTAGTTTTTAGCAAGTAAACAAATAACTGTATTGGAAAACCCTTCCTACTCACCTGATCTGGCCACCAATAACTTTTTTATTTACCCAAAGACAAAGTAAATATTGAAGGGAAGATGTTTTGATGACATTCAGGACATCAAGGGTAATATGATGACAGCTCTAAAGGCTATTCCAGACAAAAAGTTCCAAAATTGCTTTAACAGGTAGTCTAGGCACTGGCATCAGTGCATAGGTTCTCAAGAGGAGTCCTTCAAGGGAGACCATAGTGATATTCAACAATTAGGTATGTCGTACTTTTTCTAGGATGAGTTTGTGAACTTAATTGTATATATATATATATATATTTACCATTAGCTGCTAATTAAAACCCACAAAACTGTGTGCTTTCTCTTAACAATCTGTATCTGTACATATGCAGTGTAAAACCATTGACTGCCTTTCTGGTTATAGCAAATTTATCCCAACAACAATTCAATAGTAACACCAAAAAGGGAAATGTTAAAATATATATATACTTTTAGACTCAAAATTCTAAACCCAGACATTGATAGATAAGCTTCATAACTTGTACTAATAAGCTCATAAGCTTGTGTTATTCTCAAAAGAAGATCTGTATTATTTATCAGGTTTTCAAAGACAATGTCATTCAAATTGTTCCTTGGCCATCAACAAAACACTGCCTGTGAGATTGTTAAAAACCTCAATTTCTCAGACCCCACTCCAGACCCAGTGAAGCATTTATGAGGATGAGGATGAGAAATTTGTGTTTTAACGGGTTTTCCAGATTATTTTTAGGCATGCAAATATTTGAGATGCACTGATATAAGAGATCAGAAGCTATTAACTTTATATAACCTTAAGTCTATAAAATATTCTTTCAGCAAAATGATTAGTTTAAACTTTTCTCACTTTATTGAAATAAGGAAAATTTTTCAGCTCAAATGCACAACCAGTTATACCATGGCCTTTCATCTCTGAGTATGAATTATGGCCTAGAATATGGATTGTGTAAACTTTTCTTGATGATGGTAGTGATGGGCTATAGCATGAAATATAGGCTTCCCAAGACAATTTTCAAAGTGACTTTGAACTTAATTTAGTGATGAAATATATGTACAGAATTGTGATGAATCTCTGGAAAGTATTTTTAGAAAATAAAAATGTGTAGCCTAGTGTTTAGTTCTATTTCCAAAAGTATATGCATTAAGGAAACACCTAGGGTCTCATATGGCAAGTCAAAATAGTGATTTATCAGAGATAACAGGTAGAGTATGACCAGAGCTCAACTTAACCTATATAGGAGAGAAAATGTCAGAGAAATGTTATGGAGTAAGATTAGCTTTCTTTCCAACAACCTACCTGCTATTTCTCTCAATGTCCTGTGATACTGTGGACTCAAAACTTCAACCAATCTAATAAGACCCTTGACAACATTCTGAAACATACTCTTGACTTCTTTCCAACTAATCTGAAGAAAAATACTTTACCCAGCTTTTATTAATATCAGTTAGGGTCTTATTGTCTGCCAGGTAATGATAGTTAAAAACAATTTAATCATCTATTTTTGTAATGTGGTGGCTAGTTATTAACGTGCCTCAGTCCAGTTTTAAAAAAAAATCTGCTTTCAGGATACTCTACAGAAGTGATTTGATTATAAAGATGCCATCCCCTATGGGTGATATTATTTTAATTGGGCATTTTTCCATGACCACCACCACACAATATCCCAAACCTACCAAAAATGTTGCTACCTGCATTAGCTATTAATACATGCAGCAGACTATGAGATGCTTGCTTTGTTCAGACACAGCCATTCTCTGCTTTCAGCGATATTTTTATGAGTGCTTTTTTGCTCTCATTCTTTCAGATTATATGTGTACGTATCCAAAAGATGAATACTGAGTAAACGTAATGAATCTGCATAGATCATTAGCTACTATCATGAGGCTTTTAATTATTTTATATAATAAGCAAAAATGAAAACATCTTAGTAAATGACATCAGATAATAACACTTCTGCATTTGAATGAGCTCTGTTTGTCTCCAATGTTAATTAAACAAAATATGTTCTTTCTAATAGTGAACTCTTAATTCATATGCCATGCTTCATTGTTTTTCAGTTACTGGCAGATCTAGAAAACAGTTCCCTGTTTACTGGTGATCTTGAGTGTCAAAAGCTCCTGATGGAAGCTATGAAGTATCATCTCTTACCTGAGAGAAGGCCCATGATGCAAAGCCCAAGGACAAAGCCTAGAAAATCAACTGTGGGGGTACTTTATGCTGTGGGAGGCATGGATGCTATGAAAGGTAAAAAGAACAAATTCATTTAGAAAATGTCTTCATCTGAAAAAGAAGTTATGTTCTCAACACCCTCAAAATTATGAGAGTGATATTAAAGCCATGTTAAATGAATGTATCTAAAGCTAATTTTCACAAATAAGGCAATTTATTTGATTTTTGCGACCTCATTTTCCTTTTACCTTATGGGACATAGTCCTTTAGTGTTGGCAAACCTCTTAATAACCACTTCTATTTTATGGAAGCAATTTTTAAATGTGAGTATTTACTTTGTAATATTTAATATTTTCAAGAAAAGCATATTTATTGTTATTATAAAGGAAAGAGATAAGATCCATCAAATTTGTTTTTGACAGACACCAAAGTGTGTCCTCTAACTCTTATTGGCAATATTCTGTTAGATGATCAAAGACCAGTTACAAAGAATCTTGGAGTATTAGTAAAAGGATCAACATTTCAAACCTGGAATAAAATAATGATTTTAAATAAGAATTTCACCAAATGAAATTGAGAATAGTTTCTTAACCATCATTCCCACACTAAACACTTCTTAAAACCTAATTTTTGGCCAGACACTGAGACTCATGCCTATAATCACAGCACTTTGGGAGACCGAGGCAGGATGACTGAGCCAAGGAGTTTGAGACTACCCTAGGAAGCATAGCAAGGTCACATCTCTATAAAAAAATTAACTATGTTTCGTGGCGTAGTCCCACGTAGTCCTAGCTACTTCAAGAGGCTGAGGCAGAATGATCACCTGTGCCCAGGAGCTCTAGGCTGTCGTGAGCTGTGATCATGCCACTGTACTCCAACCTGGGCAATAGAGTGAATCCACAGCTCAAAACAAACAAACAACAACAACATAATACTCCACTTTTCTAGAGTTCTGCTTTATACACTTGATTCCTCAGTTGGTGAACCCGTGTTTCTAAAACAATGAGGCCAGCCAGGGCAGCCTGTCATTCCGTGCTTTGGGAGGCTGAGGTGAGTGAATTGCCTGAGCCTGCAGGTTTGAGACCCGCCTGGGCAACTTGGCGAGACCTCATCTCTACAATAAATCAAAAAATTAGCCGGGCCTGTAGTTCCAGCTACTGGAAGGCTGAGGCGGAAGGATCGCCGGAGCCCAGCAGGTTGAGGCTGCGGTGGCCGGGAACGGCCACTGCACTCCTGTCTGGGTGACAGAGTGAGACTCCAATGCAAAAAAAAAAAAAGAAAGAAAAAGAAAACAATGAGGCAAGAATATTAAAAGTTGGCTGTGTAGAAAATAAAGTCAATCCACTTAACGGTAAATGTGTTGGCAAATCATTCATAGGAATGTCATTTAGCACTTTGTACAAAATTATGCAAAAGTCAAAGTTTTGTGCTACTAGAAGCCTATTCTTTCCTTTGATATGTGTAACTGGAAATTGGAAGCATATAGGAAATATGCCAGTTAATCATAGGACTCAAGAAATTCTCCTGCCTCACCCTCTGAAAGTGCTGGGATTTTAGGTGTGATTCACAGCATCTGGTTCTTTGTCTGCTTATTAATAGGGTATTTTGTTGTTGTTGTTGTTGTTGAGTTTTTTGAGTTCCTCATGGATTCTGGATACTAGCTTTTTGTCTGATACATAATTTGCAAATGTTTTCCCCCAATTTATAGATTGTCTGTTTACTCCATTGATTATTATTTTAAATTATGTTCCATTTGCCTATTTTTGTTTTCATTGCATTATTTTTTGAGGTCTTAGTCATCAGTAATTTAGTCTCATTGGCTTGGACCAATGTCTAGAAGAGTTTTCCTATGTCTACTTCTAGTAATTTTTTAATTTCACATCTTGCATTTAAGTATTTATTCAATATTCGGTTAATTTTTGTGTATGGTGAAATATAGTGATCTATTTTCATTCTCTGCATATGGCAATTCAGATTTCCTGGCACCATTTATTGAAAAGTGTGTCCTTTCCCCAGGGTATGTTTTTGTCAATTTTGTTAAAGCTCAGTTGGTTGTAGGTATGTGACTTTATTTCTAGACTCTCTATTGTGATCCACAGATTTATATGTTTATTTTTATGCCAAAACTATGCTGTTTTGAGTTACTATCTCCTTGTCTCCTTGTAGCATAGATTGAAGTCATGTAATGTGATGACTCCAGTTTTGGTTTTTTATTTTTATTTTTTAGTTTTAGTTTCTTGAGTTAGAGTCTCACTGTCGCCCAGACTGGAGTGCAGTGGCCGCGCCCGGCCACTGCAGCCTCGACCTGCTGGGCTCCGACAATCCTTCTGCCTCAGCCTTCCAAGTAGCCAGAACTACAGGCGCGCGCTACCACGCCTGGCTAATTTTTTAATTTATTGTAGAGATGAGGTCTCGCCAAGTTGCCCAGGCGGGTCTCGAACCTGCAGGCTCAGGCAATCCACTCACCTCAGCCTCCCAAAGCGTGGGATTACAGGCTGAGCCACCGAGCCCGGCCAGTTTTGTTTTTTTGTATTTTGTTTTTTTGTGTGTGTTTTTGTTTTGTTTTGTTTTGTTTTTTGCTTAAGATTGCTTTGTCCTTCTGGGTTCTTTTTTGATTCCATATGAATTTTAACATTTGTTTCTAGTTATTTGGAAAACAATTTTGATATTTTGATAGAAATTATATTAAATTTGTAGGTGGCTTTAGGCATATTGTCACTTTTGAAATAATGAGTTTTCCAGTCCACAAGGATGAGATTCTTTTCCTTTTGTTGTGTCACCTGTAATTTCTTTCATCAGTGTTTTGTAGCTTTACTTGTGGAGATCTCTCACCTACTTGGCTAAACGTCTTCCTTGATAATTTTTTTGTAGCTATTGTAAATGGAATTGACTTCTTAACTTGGTTCTCAGCTTGATTGTTATTGATACAGTTAGATCACGAACCCAAGGATAAACATGAAAAAAGCCTGGAAACAGAATTCTCATTCAGATTTTAGGTGGTTTTTTTTCCCCCTTACCCTGCCACAATTGCAAAAAAAAAAAAAACCAATAACAACAAAACTGTTTCCTGCCTTTCAGAATCTTACAATCTATTAAAAAGCAGGGTGAACATTTAGTAACAAAAAAAAAGAAAACAATCTAAAAATTATAACAAATATAGCAAAACACTGTTTAAAGGAGAATTGTTTACCTCTATAAATTAGTATTGCATTGAGAAGATGTGTAAATTCACATTCTTTCACAAAGCTATAAAAATAATTTTATGTTAATCATTGAAACATGTTTCAGTTTTTTTATATAAGATTTTTTGTAACTTTCACCTTTTGATGTCTATGAAATACTTCTTCAGTTTCTCATTTCCTCTCTGACTCATACAATTAACTCAAGATTAGTTATTAAATATAGATATTACACCAATGGCTGGGGTTAACTATAACTCCTAAAATGTATTTTTTTGAATTATCAGAAAGTTCTAAATATGATCACAGAGTCAAAATTTTACCATGGTCAAATGGTAAACTTTGGAGGCATACATACATGGTATTCAATAACTTTTTCTTTATTAAAAATAATGAATTCTGAAAGACAGTATGGCAGGGGACTGAATAAAAGCTAATATAGTTATTTTTACAATGTTTTAAAATTAGATGGAAGAAATGGTTAAATCAGATATATCCATTACTGCAGAGAATTCAGTGTTGCTGGTAATACTGCTAAGTTTTCTGGGTTTTGTTCACTCTTGTATAGATAATAAATGAGGATTGAGTAGGAGCTTGGAAATGAATTTAGAAATAATATTTGCAGCGGTCTATAACAGAGGATCAGTTTACACAGAAAAATTTTAAAGAAAGAGATTAGTATAAAAATCTACATTATTTTTATTCTTTCTAATATAGAGCTACCATGGCTAGAGGAATTACATTTTGGTTAGTTAGAGTATTGATGAGGTTGAATAAAGATGCTGAAGAAGTCATCAGATTTCAATAGATGCTCAGTCAAAGGATGTAGGATAATTTTATTTTTTATATTTAATCTAATTCCTGGAAAATATTAACCTGGTCTAAAGCACATGTCTATGTCTTCCAGTGTCACTTTTCTATATACAGCTGATTAATGTAGCTTTGTACAATTTCTTAATTACCTCACAATTGATATCTCCCTAATGTTATTAATTAGTGAAACATTGCTTGTGTTTCCTAATCTAAATTGTTCTTTTCCAAATTCTACTAGTCAAAAAAGCTAGAAGTAAAAAGTTAAAATCAGAAGAAGCGGATAGGAAGACATATTTGGGAAACTTGGAATGGAAAATGAAAAGATACGAAAATATTCAAAGAAAATTGACTGGTTGAAAGAAAAAAAGAGTGAAAAGCAGTTGTGAGTTTGTAGATAATCCAGTTTTAATAGTATCATCCAATGATATTCAGTTTAGAAAAGATACCCTGATAAACACTGTAACTTGACTTCTCAGCTGTAAATATAGTCAATAGAACAACTGATCTGTAAAACAGCCAAATTCACATTTTAATGAAAGAATGCATAGTTAATGAGAAAAAGTAAATCAGTGCCTGTGTATTCACAAGTTTTTATTATGAAAAGTCAAAATCTTGGGACATAAATATGTATAGCACATGGTTCACCAGGAAATACTTAAAATAAAAAGAAAGAACAAGCACTGTTTCCACTAATCCAATACAAACTTTCAGAAGCAGCTATAGATCTAATATACACTCTGCTTAAATTTTGACTTGACATGACCCCATACGTTAGTCCTATAAATTTTAATGGTTACTTTTTAAATGCTAGCTATATCTTCATTATAATTAATGGGTTGAATTTTCTTCACAAACATTCTGGTAAAGGAACTATTGGAAAGTGATTTTGCCTATTCCTATGGTTGATTTTGTGCAGTAGGATGCAATTCCCTAAATTTACCACAGGCTACCTTAGCTACACTACAAGTGTGAATAATAATTCTATCTTTTTCCACCTTTGTTACCAGAAACTTCCTTGTTATACGAAATCAGCCTTTGCTAAAAACAAAAACAACCCAAAAAACAGCTAGCAACAGTTATGAGTGAATGATAGCAAGCATTGCCTACTGAAATGATAATTTATTATGAAAGTAATGACAATTTACATGGAAGTAGTGACAATACACAATGGAAGTAAACTTAGTACTTCAGTAATTTAGTAGAAAATGAAATTTTATTAGCACTTAAAGGAAGTAATATCTTGTAATTCTATATTAACTATAATCTTCTGTGTTACCATGATGGAACATTGGGTAAATCAAAACCAAAGGGTCATTTAAAAGAAATTTTCATTCCCAGTCTTTTAGTAATTTGTTTCTAAAATCAACACACATATAAACACACACATCCCACAAAGTGAAAAATATAAAGGGGCATACATTAATTTATTGAGCGATCATAAGTAATTAAATCTGTAACAGATGTGTAAACATTCAATAAATGAATACAAGATTTTTTCTGTTGTCAAGTATACTTTTTGACATCTGCGTTGGTACTACCAGTAGCATGATATAGCCATAAAAGGCGTTATAAGGGTACAAACTATGCATATTAAATAAATTATTTTATTCAGACTGTTTTAATTGGATTGAGAAGTGGTCAATATTGCCTTTCATCTTATCTTCTTTATTGTAGACTCACCTACTTACTTAATTTGAGTCGAAGTTATAGATATAAATATAATATGAATTATGATAATTCAGAATTGTAATACAAGTGGATTTTGTCATTGTTCAAACTCCCTTTGACAGGTACTACTACAATTGAAAAATATGACCTCAGGACCAACAGTTGGCTACATATTGGCACCATGAGTGGTCGTAGGCTTCAATTTGGAGTTTCAGTTATTGATAATAAGCTATATGTTGTGGGAGGAAGAGATGGTTTAAAAACTTTGAATACTGTGGAATGTTTTAATCCAGTTGGAAAAATTTGGACTGTGATGCCTCCCATGTCAACACATCGGCATGGCTTAGGTAAGAGCTTAATGTTATTTAGTTTCTCAACAATGTATTATTAGTAGAGCTCTTTAAAACTTCAATCTAGCTATACATTATTGGATTTTAGCCAATTTATCAATCAAAATATCTTAAATGCTGAAAAGCTTAAGCATATGGTAAAAATCAGTGAAATATTTTTCTTGTAGCCAGTGTCATAATTGTTAGCCCTGCCTCTTTCCACCTGAATTTTAAAGGAATTCTAGTTCAGATAGGATAGCAACTTTTAGAAATGGCATATTATTAAAGAATATGCAACTACAACAGCAAGTTTCTTCTAAGCTCAATTTAGAGAGGAGAGTATTTGATGATGGAAAAGCATTGTGGTTCTGGTTGGATGGATCATGTCCCCATAGTGAGAAACTTTGATTCTCCTCAATCTTTTATCATGCTAAGCTCCATATGTTTGTAAGATCATAAAATTTATTTTTTTTAAGAAAGAACAATTGACTTTTAAAAAATGACTTTTCCACAGCTAAAAAGTGGCAGATCCAGGACTCGTATTGCTTGCTCCTGATTATTCTGATCTATTTTCTCTACTAAATGATACATTATATACTTATTCAGCTCAGTTATATCAGTGAAATTCCTCTTCATAGCTTAGAAAGCAGGTCCTACAGAAAAATCAGAGTAAACTTTTTTCAATCCAACTGATGTTAGTAAAGGTAGAAGAGATGATAAGGCTATACCACTGAGAGACTGATGGACATGTGAGGGTGGGTAATAAAAAGCCAGTTATATGAATTTTCAAAGCATATGAGAAGAAGAAAAGGACTATGTATAATATATAACAGAACAAACTTCTAACTAAACTTTATTTTTATTTAGTTTTGAGTGTGAGTCTCACTCTGTCACCCAGGCTGGAGTTCAGTGGCACACTCACGGCCACTGCAGCCTCGACCCATTGGGCAGGTGATCCTTCCGCTTTAGCCTTCCAAGTACCTGGAACTACAGGCTCATACCACCACAACCTAGCTAATTTTTTGATTTATTGTGGAGAAAAGGTCTTGTTAAGTTGCCTAGAATTGTCTCAAACCCATGTACTCAGGTATCCTCTGACCTCTGCCTCCCAAAGTGCTGGAATTACAGGTGTGAGCCATCGCACCTGGCTAATTAAACTTTAAAAATAACCCCATCCAGTTAGTTATCTCACAAGAATATTTTTATCCTTAATTTTAAAACCAGTGGTAATAAAGATCAACCATAGTCAGTCTACAATTTTAAGGTTTATTTAAGATTCAGTATCATATGTCATCTACCTCTTACATTTAAAAAACAGCATTGAAATTGTGCCAGAAAAACAAGCAGCTTCCTTCTTCTAAAAAGTACATATCTAACAATGGTGCGTTCTACTACCCTACTACTACCTTTGACTTCAGTGTCACAACAATGATAGCCTTCTATGTCATAGTAACTATGATTAAAGTTTCCTAGGGTTAAAAACCATATTTAGCTTTATAACAGATTCAGTAAATCATTCCTATGTATGCAAAATAATTTAAGAAACAAAACACAAATGTATAAACAGCTAATTGCTTGCAAAATGAAACAATATCCATTGTGTATCGCCTACTTAGGTAAGCCTTCATACTATTTTCATCCTTCAGGTGTAGCCACACTCGAAGGACCAATGTATGCTGTAGGTGGTCATGATGGATGGAGCTATCTAAATACTGTAGAAAGATGGGACCCTGAGGGACGCCAGTGGAATTACGTGGCCAGTATGTCAACTTCTAGAAGCACAGTTGGTGTTGTTGCATTAAACAGCAAGTGAGTAAATTCGAATGTGCATGCTCATTGCTCCCAGGTCACATGGTACAGAACTTTACTGGTGTGATCCATCATTCAATAAGCATTCCAAATAACCAGGGCATGCTTGTTATCAATAATTAAAAGTCTTTGTTGGAATCCTCTTTTCATCATGATGAAAAATATGTGTCTAAAATAAGCATTTGATTAAATATTCTGTAGGCCTTTGCTAATCAAAGAGTAGTCCTGGGACCAACAGTATTAGCATTTACTGAGATCTATTTAGAAATACTAAATTTTTCCCCACCCTAGACCTCTTGAATCAGAATCTCCATTTTAAAAAGATCTCCAGTGACTTGTGTACATGTTAAATTTGAAAAGCACTTTTGCAGGCAAGCCAGTTCTATTTTTACCCTCATGAAGCTACCACTTTTTACATTATTACTTCTTATCAAACTTTTGGTCTGTATGTGTTTGTTTCAACAGTTCTGCTCCTTAGTGTTCAGGGTTCTCAACTATAGAATTCCACTTATAGTCTCACACTTACTGAATATTTACCTCTTCCTGATCACTTGTCTATCACTTGCAAGCTAATATGTGACAAACTTATGATGTTAGAGTTTTCCAGGTGCTTGAATTGTTACTAGGCAGTTATGTGCTTTCAGACACTAGATCCCTTTGAAGACAAAGACCAGTATATAGGCGGAGCTGGAATGATGAGAATTAAAGACAACAGCATGGGTCATTTGGAGGAGACGGCCTTGCATATCTATACTGAGTGTGTATAAGCCCTGTCTCTCACACAGAAATAGGTGCAGTTGAATTTTTTAACACAGATTGTTTTAGCAAAGTTGCACAGGAAGAAATAGGAAATGTCTATAGTTAGGAGAAGATCCAACTTTACAGTATCTTAGAGATTAAGGTATGCCTAAATCTGACTATCTCTGGACAGACCTAAATGATATCAAGTGATTCAGTAATGTAATACCCTCTCTAATACAGAACAGGCTGAAATAATCAAATTTGATTCATTTAATTTTGTTTTGCCTAGCTGCTATGGTTCACAACTCAGCATGAAGAACAGTTAAAGGTATATGGTTTAATAAATGTTTGTATTTTTTATTGATGCTGGATTCAACTTAAATTAGATTTAAAATGCTGCTTAACAAAATAATTGGCATTTTAAATTTTATGAGAGACAAGCCAGAGCCAGTAGTTCTTACTAGGAAAAAAACTTTAGTTCTGCATTCTGTCTTATTCTCTTCATTGATTATTAAGTTAATGTCTTCTTAGTGATAATTTTTAATAATAAATAATGTAGTTTATGAAAACATCAGAGAATCTGATACTAGGCAGTTGGACCTAGTTAAAACTGTAAGCTTGTCAGCATTTGTCTTTGGAACCATGCTGACAACACTTTTGATATCTTCCTCCTTTTTCTGTAATGAATTTTCCATTGGATCTTTCACCCTATTATGTCAACGTCTCTTTGACAAAAATGAAGACAGGAAGTGTGGGGTAGGGTAGACCTTAACATGTGTTCTCAGGTAACTATTCACAAACAAATGCCATTCGCTACAAAATAGTGGAGTAGAATGTATCATCAGAAACTTCAGAAACTTGAAATGATTTGTTCAAAGTTATTTTGCTTTCATTCCATGCACATATTTTTTATGTGCATACATACATATATATACACACAGTTCTATCTTTTTTTTCTAGATTATATGCTGTTGGTGGACGTGATGGAAGTTCTTGCCTCAAATCAATGGAATACTTTGACCCACACACTAACAAATGGAGTCTATGTGCTCCAATGTCCAAAAGACGTGGAGGTGTGGGAGTTGCCACATATAATGGATTTTTATATGTTGTAGGAGGACATGATGCTCCTGCTTCTAACCATTGCTCCAGGCTTTCTGACTGTGTGGAACGGTAAATTGTTTCCATTTTTATGTATGTGATTATTTGGTTATTTTCCAGAAATGAAACTTCTAAACTACCAGAAAGTAGCCTTCCAACTAAGTGCTAATTATTTATAGCAGATTAGTCCTTTGTAAAATTGTATACTTACTCAGGCTCAAAATTTGGGGAAAAAATCATTTTAGACATTTCACATACAGCATAAAATATATTTAAAATGCTATCTTATTTTTTATATTCACACTATAAAATAATCAGACAAAAGAGATGAAAGAGAAAAAAAAGTATGTCAAGCTATATCACCCAATACAGCAGACAGTTCAAATAAGGTTACTGTTTCCAAAATCAACTTAATCTGCAAATGAATGAACACTCACCACCAAAAATATACCGTAAGAATTTCCAAACAGGGTTTTTAATAATATTCTGAACAATGACTCTATTGTGATAAGCATTTTGTCTCCAAAAGGTGACATCATTGAAAGGGAGACATTAATTTGTATGCATAGTGTGGTATATTGGTTAAAATGTGTTGTATGACTATATAACTATAAAATTTATATTTCATTTCAAGGTAGAAAAAGTATATAAAACTGCACAAAATAAATGTTATTATTAATAAATAATATTAACCTAATAAAAAATGAACCATTTGCTATAAGATATCAGAATTCAGGAGACAGACATAGTAGTTGGATGGTATCCTTATGGGAAATTTATGGAATAGGTAGAATTTGTACTTTTCAGACATAGAAAAGTAGGAGGAAATTTCAGGTCTAGAAAAAAGCGCAACTCAGATTATGGAAGTAAAGGAGAGAGATATGTAGATGAGAGCAAGCACTTTGGGTTGAAATATAATTTGGAAGCGTAACTCAAAACCAACTAAGGACTAAACTGTTTGATGGCCTAAATGCCAAGGTGGAAACTTTGAGATTTTGTCTTATAGGAGAATAATAATTAAATTGGGGAAAATTTGAATATCACAAAGCCCAAACTGGAGTGCAGTGGCTGCTCCCAGCCACCGCAGCCTCGATCTGCTGGGCTCCAGCAATCCTTCCACCTCAGCCTTCCAAGTAGCCGAAATTATAAGCATGCGCTACCATGCCAGGTTGATTTTTTTATTTATTGTAGTCAAACAGTGAAATTTTAAAAATGTAAGAAGAGACTAAATAAAGAAGATTATTATTTTTCCTCTGAAAAGCAAATAACTGAATCATAATTGACAATTAAAGATGATAGGTTTTTGCAATGAATATCTGATCTGTAACTTTTTTTTTTATAAAAAGTAATTCTAAATGACCACCTCTCTACTACTCAGTATATACCTGAAATGCTTCTTCTGAGATCAGTTCTTCAGAAATTCAAAATCTTTTTCTTTAAGGTTTTACAAGCCATAAATAAGATCAACCACTGCCTCCAATGTATAATGTATTATACCCAAATATATGTGGCACTGAAATTATCAACATTAATTCTCTTTATAGTTAGCATAAGTAATAATCACTTCATAATGATGCTGCATTTTTATTGTGGCAAAATATACATAGCAAGAAATTTTGACCACTTTCAGGTGTATGGCTTAGTAACAGTAAATATATTCATTGTTGTGCAAACATCACTACCAACCATCTCTACAACATTTTTCATATGCTCAAGTTGAAACTCTGTACTCATTAAACAATAAATCTACATTTTCATCCCCCCCAACCACTGACAAACACTATTCTACTTTCTGTTTTCATTAATTTTATTATTCTAGATACCTCATAAAAGTTGAGTTATAAATATTTATTATTTTGTGACTGGTATATCACACTTAGCATAATTCTTCAAGATTTATCCATGTAATAGCATGTGTCAAAGTGTCCTTTCCTTTTTAAGGCTGAATAATATTACATTGTTTGTATATATCACTTTTTGCTTGTCTATTTATTTGTCAATGGGCAGTTGAGTTGCTTCCACCTTTTGCCTGCTTTGATAGGTGTACAAATATCTGTTCAAAACTCAGCTTTCAATTATTTTGACTACATGCCCAGAAGTAGAGCTGCTGTATCATATGGCAATTCTAGCTTAAATTTTTTGAAGAAACACAATGCTGTTCTCCATAGTGGCTGCACTAGTTTTTATTTCCACCAAATAAGCAAAAGGAAGTTCAAATTCTGTACATCATTGCCAACATTTGCTATTGTTACTATTTTTGTTAATAGCCATCCCAAGGTTGTGAAGTGGTAACACACTGCAATTTGCATTTCCTTAATGACTGGTGATGTTGAGCAGCTTTTTAGTTGCTAATGGCCATTTGTATATCTTTCTTAGAATAATGTCTATTCAAGTCCTTTGCACATTTTTAAATTAAGGTGTTCTGACTATTTGTGGTTGCATTATAGGAGTTCTGTATATAGTCTGGAAATTAATCACTTATGAGCTATGCAATTTACAAATAGTTTCTTGTTTCAAGGGTTTCCTTTTCATTATGTTGATAATGTAGTGTGATGCACAAAGGTTTGTAATTTTGTTGAAGTCCAATTTATCTATTTTTTTCTTGTTTATTTGATGATTTTTTAAAATTTTACTTTAAGGACGCGGGGTACAACTCAGAATTAGATATACAAATGGTCATTGTATGGGTAAAGTTTGGGCCTAACTTTGGTCCATGGTTGTTGGGTGGAGTATTCTGTAGATATCTGTTAAGTCCATTTGGTCAAGCATCAAGTTGAGGTTCTGGATCTCCTTGTTGTTGATTTTTTTGCCTCGATGAACTATCCAGGGTTGTTAGTAGGATATTTAAGTCCCCAGCTATGATATTGTTAGAGTCAATATCTTTTTTTTTTAGTTTACCAAGAAGCTGCTTTATAAAAATCGGTGCTCCTATGTTGGATGCATATATTTAGGATGGATATTTTCTATTGATGGATTGAATCTTTTGTCATTATGTAGTGACCTTCCATATCATTTTTAAATTTTTGATAGCTTAAAGGTTATTTTGTCTGATATTAAGATCACCACTCCTGCATTCTGTGTTCCATTCACCTGAAAATTTGTTTTCCATCCTCTAACTTTGAGTCTTTTAATCTCCTGGAGACAGCATATTTTTGTGTCATTTTAAAAAGCTACTTTGCCATTATATGTCTTTTCCATGGTGCATTTAGTCCATTTATATTCAGGCTAATTATTGAGATGTGAGATTTTATCTCTGTCATGAGGCTCTTATAGAGTTTGTTGTTATTGTTGTTTTGCTTATTTGTCTGTTGGTTTTCTTTTGATTTGTGAGTTGATACATGTGTGTGTGTTTTCAATCTTTCTTCTGTATTCTTGGGAAGAATGTAGTCATTCTTTTTTTTTTTTTTTTCTTTCTTCAGTGCTTAATACTTTCTTAAGCATTTCTTGTAGACCTGATCTGGGGGTGGCATAAACTCTTAGGGACTGAATATTTGGGAAGGATTTTAGTTCTCCATCACTGATGAAGCTTAGCTTTTCTGGGTAGGAAATTCTTCGTTGAAATTGCTTATCCTTGAGAACTTTGAAGATTGGACTCCAGTCTCTTCTAGCCTGTAATATTTCTGTAGATAGATCTACTGCTATTCTAATTGGTCTTCTCCATTAGGTAGTGTAACCTTTCTCTCTTGCTGCCTGTAGGACTTTTTTCTTCTACAACAACTTTGTGTAAGTGGATTAATATGTGTCTAGAAGTTTATTTTCTCCTTTGATGTCTTTCCAGAATTCTCTGAGTCTCTTGTGTCTAATGAGACAAGGAAAGTTTTCTTGGATAATTTCATGGAATGCTTGTTTCAGGGTTGTCTCTGTCTCTCAACCTGCCTCAGAAATGCCAAGTAAGCATGGGTTTGGTTTCTGGATATAATCACACATCTCTTGGAGGCTTTGTTCTATCTTTCTAAGCTTCTTTCCTATGTTTTTAACTGCTTGGATTAGTTCCATATTTTGGTCCTCAAGCTCTAAGATTCTATCTTCTGCTTGGTTAACTCTGCTTTCCATGCTTGTCAGTTTGTTATTTATTTCATTTACTATACTCTTTATGACTGTTATCTTGGTTATCAACCCCTTCATTCTTTTCTCTTGTCTCTCCTCATTTCTATTCATTTTCTCCATGAATATCTTGTTATCTGGGTTTGTGGTTTGAGACTCTTTGTTCTGGTGACTCTTTATTGTTTGAGTTCCAAAGTCTGTGTTCTCAGGTGCTGTCTTCCCAAGAGTCTGGATGGGACCTGTGTTCTTTTTTTGGTTCTTCCTCATTTGTAATAGTTTTCCTTTCCATTTTTCCTCCCTCTTAAATTCCATTGCTCAGTGACAGAGGGGATGCCTTTCACTTTTGTCAACCCCCTATTCTTTCCTGTGTAAATCCTCTGGATTTGTTCAATTTTAAAGTCAGAGTAGAAGTGGGGGGCTGTGCTTTTTGCAGTTTTGAGATTTGATTAAGTTGTGACAAGGAAGCTGTGTTTCAGAAGCTATCTGCAGATCACAGGATCTGCTTACTGATGTGTGGGTCTCCTGGAACCCACTCTCTCCACCTTACAATCTGTCCATGCAGTGAGAGCAAATGTGTGCCCCCTGAAAGCAAAATGAGATAAGAAAAAGGAAAAGAATGGAAAAAGAAAAGGGAGATGAAAGGAAGATGAAGAGACAGAAGAAGAAGAAAAATGGACAGGCACATCAACTAATGAATATACAAAAAACAAAGAAAAAACAGACAAACATACAAATGAAAACCTGATGATGCTCATCCTCAAAAAAACACATACACACTATAAGAAAAGGATTGGCAGTAGCAGGAAACTGCCGGAAGGGGAGTGGGAAATCAGGATTGGCAGTAGTGGAAATCTGCCTGGGGAAGAGGGAGCATACCTCATCAACAAGGATGCCTGTATAATGAACATTTATATACCTAACCCTGAATTGTACCCCACATCTTTAAAATTAAAAAAAATTAAATGAAAAAAATAACCATACAAAAATGGAAAATCTAAAAAACTGAAAAAAAGACAAGAAAAAAAAAA